ATGTTCAAAATGCAAGCATTGGCAAGAAGTTATTGTTGGTGGCCAGGTATTACAGATGATCTTGAAGATTTGGTAAAAAACTGTGCAGAATGTAACAAATTCAAAAATAATCCGGCAGTTGTGACTATTCATCCGTGGGAACAAGCTAAAGAACCATTTCAACGAGAACATATCGGTTTTGCAGGGCCATTTTTCAATTCTCACTATTTTGTTTTAGTTGACGCATTTACTCGTTGGCCAGAAATCCATATGCTTAGATCTATAAACACAAGTTCCACCATTTCGCTTTGCAGAAAAATATTTTCAACTTTCGGAATTCCTTGTATTCTGGTAAGTGATAATGCAGCTCAATTTGTTTCTCATGATTTTCAAATGTTTCTAAAGCAGAATGGTATCATACACAAATTGAGTGATCCATATCACCCGGCTACAAATGGATTAGCAGAACGATATGTGCAAACTTTCAAACAGGCTTTACGTGCTATAAAAGGGAATGATTCAGATAGATCTAAACAATTATGTCAATTTTTACTATATTACAGGAGAACGCCTCATTCTGTTACTGGTGTTAGTCCGTCAAAATTAATGTTCGGTAGAGATATTCGATCTAGGCTGGATTTACTTATCGAACCTCTCCCAGATAAGATAATTTCTACAGATTCAAAAACTCGTGAATTTTCGGTAGGCAAGAGAGTTGCGGTGCGTAACTATTTGAGTGATTCAAAATGGGAATTTGGACGTGTTCATAAAAGGTTGGGACAATTACACTATTTAATCAGATTGGATGATTCTAGAATTTGGAAACGACATTCAGATCAAATTAGATCTATAGGGGAAAATACTCCACAAAGTGATCAATGTTATTACTCGTATCCGGAAGATACCGACAGTAATGATGCAATACCCAGTAACTCTAGTTTTTCAGCTGATAACAATCTTTCGAGTACACCAAACGTTCCTAGTAGAAATATTCCAAATCAGGATATTCAGACACCATCATCAAATTCCTTGTCTTCTGATCCTGAAAGTCTTATCAATTCAGAAACAACCTTGCGCAGATCACAGAGAACAAGAAAACCTGCTTCTCGATTTGGTTTCTTATAAGATTGATTTTGTATTCACGAGAAGGGGAGAAAACTGTTATGTTTACATTTCACATACTGTATATTTGTGGATTCGGTAGCACCCTGTACCGAGAATCGTTATGACAATGAATAATAATTGTAGATTCGCTTGTTATTGAAATTGGCAATTCATTCTATTTCTTGAATAAATATATAGTCTAAGATCCGAACCTAAATCGACCTTCACCGAGCTGATAATAGAACGAAATATATTTAATCATGAATTTAGTATATTAGAAAACATATTAAAAATGGGTTGGCTAAAAAAATCCTGGGCGGACTATTTTTAATTATCTTTCGAAGAATGATTTTTTATTAAATGTTGCAACATCAGGATAATAAAAAAAAATTGTCCTGACTGAAAGTATAAAACGTATAGAATGTGCAGCCGTTGGGTTGTCTACTATTTACCTGGGCGAACTACTGGGTTGTCAGGTAAACACAGGTATATCGATGCCAGTTACTTTCACTGGATTGGATAATTAAAAAAAAATTATATCATCATAAGCGCTGTTTAATTGCGAACACGTTGATATAGGGTTGTCTGCGAAAATTCCGGTCCTATTAGGGGTTTGCGAATTTTAAAGATTTTAATTTCAACGCGCGTGGAAGTGTGTGACAGAGAGATCCGAGTTAAGTATACTGTGTAATAATAAAGGACCCAACATCGCAGTCGCTTGTGATGGGACCCTGAATAGTAGAAAGTGTGCGAAGTGTGCGAAGTCAAATCCTGAAAACTATGGTTGGCATTTTGATGATTTATTAAAACCAACAGGTTTTATCGGAGATCAAACTCCTTTGAAAATCCAGAACATTGTCGAAATGGAAGCAAATGAGGAAGAATCTAATGAATCAGACGAATTCGAGAGTCGAAATGATACTTCTGATGAATCAGATATTGAATAGAAAATATTTATTAGAATTTATTTTTCATTAATATTATTTTTGTATTTATACTGTTTTTTAATGAAATTTTAAATCGTAATACACGATGTCTAGTCTATCTTTTTTGTTATTTCTTAATTCAAATTTTTGGCGGTCCACTTTGTTCCTATTTCCAGAAAGAGCAAAAAAATTTCAAAGTAAGTAATTGATATTTTTATTGTCTATCATAGATTATAGATATATTATTATGGTTATAACGCAATATATTGATATTATATTGTTTTTATATATTAGTATTATATTAAATATATTTAATTATTATGTAATTATTTAATTTTTTTTTTTGCTACTGAAATATCAGTTGCTCCAAAATAACACGTACTGTTTACTATATGAAGGGTAGTAGAGGTACCTCTACCCTCCATAGTTTACACACCGTGCATGCGCACTTTCTACTATTCAGGGTCCCATCACAAGCGACTGCGATGTTGGGTCCTTTATTATTACACAGTATACTCACCTTGGATCTCTCTGTCACACACTTCCACGCGCGTTGAAATTAAAATCTTTAAAATTCGCAAACCCCTAATAGGACCGGAATTTTCGCAGACAACCCTATATCAACGTGTTCGTAATTGAACATCGCTTATGATGATATAATTTTTTTTTAATTATCCAATCCAGTGAAAGTAACTGGCATCGATATACCTGTGTTTACCTGACAACCCAGTAGTTGGCCCAGGTAAATAGTAGACATTCCAACGGCTGCACATTCTATACGTTTTATACTTTCAGTCGGGACAATTTTTTTTTATTATGTTGCAACATTTAATTAAAAATCATTTTTCGAAAGATAATTAAAAATAGTCCGCCCAGGATTTTTTTAGCCAACCCATTTTTAATATGTTTTCTAATATACTAAATTCATGATAAAATATATTTCGTTCTATTATCAGCTCGGTGAAGGTCGATATTGGTTCGGATCTTCTACTAATATTATTCTACATTCTACATACGAGTTATATTGCTACTACAGTGGAACTATAAAACACTCTGTATATGAATTCATTGATGTATGATCTTAGGTATACTTCACACTGGTATTGAGTGCCAATAAGTCTCCTTGTGATCCTCTTCAGTTCAATGACGGCCAAAAGAGAAGTGCATCCTAGGATAATATTCCATTTTTTCATTGTGACTAACTTAAAACGTCTGAAACTTCATATTGATATCAACACTATTCACATTAATCGATACACATTCTAACACTCGTGCTAAATTTAATCAATCCATGCTCCTTCCGTCTGTTCATAATGAAAACAATCGTGGCACAATTTCGTCCATGTTGATATCACGTCCTCCACTAGGTGACTGTGGAATGTGGAACAAAAGGTGATGACCGACTGTCTCGTGTCGTGTCCATTCGGTATAGTTCGACATTCCGACAATCTGCTTTTGAGATAATACTGGAATTTTGGAAAATCATATCCAATGGATATTCGAAAAACATATCCAGGGAATATCATTTGGAGATATTTAATGAATATTCGAAGAATATATTCCAAGAATATTCTTTGAAGATATTAAATCAAGCACATATTCATAGAATATTTTAGCGATAATGCGACATTTATTGGGAAATTGGATGTAGTAGGCATATTCTAGTAATATGAAGTGCTATCTGGGTATGCCCTCAGCCCGCTCTCATTCTGATTGAACTTAACCTGGATCCCCCAGTCCACATGCTCGGCTAGATGATATATCAGTATACAACAAGACATTATGTGCGAACATCGATTGATCCTTCACATCGATACTTGCATAGAATCAGATGATGACGGCACAGAATACCAGGATAGATGTTTTGTGATCAGGTACGTCCAGTAAAGAATGAATTGTGAGGAATGTAATATGTCCATGTTTGCAATGAGGTTCTTGAATGAATAGATATCAGAGATCGATGGTAGACATTTCATGCAATGATTTCAATCATCATTATATATACAATCTTATTCAATCCCGTCCAATGGAGGTCGATAACATCTAGAGTTGGCGTACCCAGTACATCGGAATCAAACCAACCCAGTACGTCCAGAAAACGACGTTTTCAGTTCGTATTGAGGAGGTTTCGGACGTTCAGATTCGAATTCCATATGAATTGTTGAATCCGAAAACCGTTGAAAATTATCAAGGACATAATTATAATTATTTAATCAGTCCTGTCATCTGTCCAGATTAATTATTATTTCCGAAATGCGATTTTGATTGATGATTCAGAATGAACCTGCATCGAAACGTTGGTTTGGGTGTCTCAGGGTTTGGGGGTTCTGAGACCAGGTAGCAGGAAGAATGAAAAAACCGCCAATTCTTGAAATACCAATGATTTATTTCCACTTATTGCTGTCGAGTACTAAGCCAAGCAACTAAAAACTAATACCCACACATATACTAGTCGTCGAAATAACAATTAACAAAATACATTTCCAACTGGTGGCACTATGAACGCCATTTTAACACACAAGCCGGCTTGCGAGGTCTCAACCATCGATTGATATATTGAATATCAACTAAATCGTCGATGACTTACCTAATACCAGAACTGACGTTGACACTCTCGATTTTAACACAAAAAGCCAGTCACTATTCACAGGCTATTATTCTTTTTAGTATACTCTTATCTTATTACTCGAATAACACTCAACGTCGGAAAATTTCGGCTTCTTCTTCTCAAGACTCTCGCGCCCGCCACAGGTGTCTAGATGCCGAAACAATGATAAATAATATTACCCAATTAGGTCGAGTTCGCCACCTATCGATGAATAGATTGAGGCCCGAAACAGGGAAGAGTTCGCGTTTGCTGACCGCAAATAATTACCGATCATAATGATATTGAGATGTAGGACCTGTACTACCAAATTCACCTAGAGGGAACTACTAGTATTTTGGTTCAACTATGAGAAGTGGAGACTATGTCATCTCTTTTTTTCACAGGGTCGAATAGTGAATGAGGGAACATTCAGTGAACTTGCTGAAGATGACGACATTTTTGCTCAGATGCTGAACGAGGGATGTAAAACAGATGACGATGAAAAGGAAAATAAAAACAAACAAAGTGAAGATAGACCTGATTACAAGAAATCAATATCTCACAGGGTAAGTGACTACTATTCTAACCCGTTCCCAATCGTAACAAATATCAGGTATCCATATCGAGAACAATCAGAAAAGATTGAATAAAAATATTTGAACATTGGATACAATTTGCATTGAGGCAGGAAGAGTGTCGACTTTATCAAGGCACTAGAATATTGTATCCGAGTAGTAATTTTTTATCAAGACTTTTATAATTGTTTCTCTTCAACTCAGTGACCAATGTCGATTTTTAATAACTATTGTAACGAGAATAGTATTTTGGACCTTACGCCGGCCCTGTTCTGGTATCTAACAGGCTCTGGCATGAGTTCTTGAGAGTGACAGTAATAAAAAGACCGTTTTATCTCAGTGAATTACTCTCGCTGCTTTTCATCATTTAATGTTGTATTTTCATAGGTAAATTATCTTTTACTGGCTTTCATTATTATCTAAGTGTTCAAGTACCAGTGGAATATAATAATTCGTAATTTCACCTCTTAACCATTCTTCACAAACGAGTAACCCAACACCTAACCCTACTATACTGGCGCTCCAACTTTTTGGAGTTGGTTTTTCGAGGGAAACGAAAGTGAATCCTGTGTGCTCGAACGACTTCACCGATTTTGGGTGCAAATTCGAATAGGAATCGGACGAGTTCCTCGAGTACTTCGAGCGAATTCCATTCCCGTCGCGGCATTTTCACATCGTGTGTGCGGTTTACCGGTGTGCGTACCAAGGACATTCAAGGACTTTTCGTTCTCGGACGGTCTTTCAGACATTTTGATCCAATATAATCTCTGTCCAATATCCATCCATCGAACTTTTCGCAGTGTTGTCGGATTTCGTCGGGCCGGAGCAAGTTCAAATAACCATGACTTTAGATTTCTTTCAATAGTTGAACCTTTCTGTCACTTTTCGCGTGTGCTCATGGTATTTCATCTACTTGCATATAGATAGATAGCTCTTTATAGATAGATAGCTCTTTATTTCCAACAGGTATACACCCAATTACAGGAAATGCTAGAAGGTAATATTCAACATAATGAATTACAAAACGACAAATATAAATAAATGTATATGCGTGCATGTAAGTAAATAATTGATTATATATTGGACAATACAGTGAAAAAACTAAAGTGAGAGAAAAAAAAAAGGAGAAGTTTACAATCTATTGATGATACATTCCAAAATATATTTGAGAGTGCTCACATTGATATCACATACATCACAGATCAAATTATAATTAGAACACATTAACGACACTGGTGCCCTGCGCATTACGTTTGTTCGAATATTTTCACAATAAAAGGTCGTCTCACTTCTAGAATTAAGGCGAGGAATAGGAAAGTTGATTTTTTGTAAAAGTGAGGCACAGGAAATACTATTGTGCAGTAAATTGTAGAGAAATGATATTGTACCAAAGATACGACGAGTGTGCAAAGAAATTACATCGAATCGATTCAGAAGGAATGAATGATCGATCCCTATGACCTATAGACAAAAGCTTCGCAGTTATAGTGCGATTAGTGCTACTGAAAGTAAGACGAATCAAATAAAGGAAACAAAAATGGAAAACGTAGTTGCAATGTCAGCTGAACAACTTCAAGCTTTACTGGAGGGCATGAGGCAACTGACAACAAGCAATGTGCCGCCTACAGCTTCAGGTAATTTTGTACGTTGTAATAGTAGATTCACTAGAAAGAAAGACGACGATGTTGAAGCATTCATTGATGCTATCAGTATATACAAGGAGTGTGTTGATATTACTGATGCTAATGCTATTAAAGGTATCTCAATGTTGTTAGATTCGAATGCAGCAACTTGGTGGCAGGGTGCGAAATCTTCTATTACTACATGGAATGACGTTATTACTGCTCTTCGTCATGCGTTCGGAAATAATAAATCTGCGCCGAAAATTTTCAGGGAGTTATTTTCTCGGGAACAAGGAGACAAGGAGCCAACAGATGTATTTGTCAACAAATGCAGAGCTTCGTTGTCGCAGCCCAGGTAGCCAGACTGTCGAATGTGATGACCGCTATCTAAGGCCTTTTTTGGTCTCATACGTCTTTTGACCAAATTATGACGTCATGCGGACGTCATTAATGTGACGTCTTATGGACAGCCACTGTTTGACGTCGTATAGACGTCAATCTATGGTCTTCATATTTTTTTGGGTATTATTATCATTATCATTATCATTATCATTATTATCATTACCATTATTATTATTATTTTTATTATTATTATTATTATTATTATTATTATTATTATTATTATTATTATTATTATTATGTATGTATAGGAAAACGAAGTTATAAAATAAATTAATTAGTTTATCCAAATAACTGTATAAATGTTTGATACAAATGTACTTTATTCCATAGGCTTCCCTTGATTTTCAATGTTTAAATTTAGCGCCAAAGACAATTCTCACTTACCGACCAGATGGCCAATGGCGATCAAGTAAGTACGCGAAGAGATTGTGTATGCGACTCGCGACCATCTTGCGACTGCCGTTAGTGGCGTTAGTGCCGTTCAGCGGTCCGTTCTGATGTTCAGCGTCAAGCTTGCATCGTGCGTTCCCGTATCGTCCATGTTCGAATGGGTGTTATTTGTGAACGGCCTCTGTGCCATTGAATTTGTTAAGAATGTTAAAATGTTGAGTGTTTGAGTGGTATTTCTATACAGTCTGTTTTTCACGTGAAAGTATTCAGGATGTATTGTGTAATACAATTCAATGACAGTGGAAGCAACAGAGTGTAGCTTTTGTTCACGAAACTTGGCTGACGCCGTTGAAAAAGGAAGTGTTTTGGCCGCCATTTAAAGACAGCAAAACATACAAAAGAGCTCTCTGTGAAGGGGAGCCATCGACGCTGAAATTTTCAACTATTTATGTAATACCTTATATTACTATCTTGTTAAAAAATAATCTTCATTCGTTGCAAATTTATTGTATAGCACAAATGATTACCTTCCTCACCAGATTATAACCATTAACCTCAAAATTTTATAAAAAAAAACAGACGTCTTATTGACGTCGGAAATTGGTCAGTAGTGTCAGTTTAAGGTCCAATTTGAAAACACATACTGACGTCTAAAAGACTTTCATATATGACGTCATTTGGATGTGTCTTACTTACGTCATTTGGACGTCGCATTTGTTGAAATAAAGACGTCTTTTGGCCGAATGTGATGCCGTCAATTAGACGTCATATAGTCGTCATGTGCTACCTGGGAGCTTCCTGCTACCCCTGTGCTGCATGATACCCATAAATTGGATATGATTTATGGCTTGCTGAACTCTAAAATTAGAGAACGTGTGTCTCGCATAGACATCACTTCTTTTGATGGACTAATTAAAAAATGTAGGGCTGTTGAAGACTCTTTGGCAGAATCCAAGCAACCAAGCAGTGTTGCCAAACAAGGCCCGGAAAGTACTAATGAATTCCGTCCAAAGTGCACGTTTTGTAAAAACTTTGGCCATCTTCAGGCAGAATGTAGGAAATTCTCAAGTTCAAAACAGTTCACTGACCCTCAACATATTGATGAATCAAGTGCAGGTCCGTCAACTCGCACAAATGATGTGCGCATGCCTGCTGGTAATAACATTATCTGCTATGGGTGCAATACGCCAGGTTATGTGAGATCGAATTGTCCTAACTGCCGTGCCTCGTCTCACGTAGATGTACATTCTTCTCAAAACGTATCATCTGTTGACGTTTTGTTGACTGACACCAATGATGACGTCAGACGTCCCTTAGTAAAAATCTCAGTTGAAGGTATTACGGTATTACGGGAGGTGCTTCTATGGACACCGGCGCTAAATGTTCTCTCGCTGGTTCCCGTTTGTATAACCATTTCATGGAAAATCACGCCCCCTTCTCCTCTGAAATCAGAACCATGGTTCTAGCTGACGGTGAACCTCGTCAAGTATCAACTCGTATATTCCAGTGCAAAAACTCTTTTAGGAGTTGACTTTGTTTCCAATGCAAATATCGTTATGGATATACCTCGAATGAAGTACCATTTCGCAGAAGCACCCCATATTCATCACGATTTTCTGTCAGAAATTCCTTCAGTCAACAATACATCTCTGCATTTCGTGGATGTTTCTCTTCGTGATGACGAGGCCACGCAGATCAGTGACTTTGAACGTAACCAATTGCAAAAACTTTTGGAAAACAACAAAGATGTTTTTGAAGATAATCAGGAAGCTACTCCCTATGCTGAACATTCGATCAGGTTAACAAATGAAACACCTATCGCAGTTCCGCCATATAGAATGACAGCACGAAAATCGGATCTATTGAGGGAAGAACTGGATGGGTTGATCCACAAAGGAATTGTCGAAGAATGCGAATCAGCTTTTGCTGCACCTGTGGTTTTAGTGCCCAAAAAGAATGGAAAAGTTCGCATGTGCGTGGACTATCGAAAGTTGGATAGTGTGACTATTCCCGACAGATATCCGCTGTCTCGCATGGACGACTTGATGCACGCAACGACTCATTCCATCTTCATGTCTACTTTGGACCTCAAAAGTGGTTATCACCAGGTATCGGTACGACCTGAAGATCGCGACAAGACAGCTTTTATCACTCCCTTCGGTTTGTATCGCTTCACGCGCATGGCCTTCGGTTTACGAAACGCGCCAGCTACCTTCCAAAGACTGATTAATCGATTTCGTATTGGCTTTAGACAATCTCAGCCTATTTAGATGACCTAATCGTGATTAGTGAAAATTTCGATAAACATTTGCAAGATTTGCAGAGAGTTTGCCAACGTTTGAGACAATTTAAACTAAACGCGAATCGCGAAAAGTGTTTTTCCGTGCGACAGACTGTCAAATACTTGGGACACTTGATAACTCCTACGGGTATTGCACCCGATCCGGAAAAAATTATCGCTATACGTGACATGAAGCCACCGCAAACTGTTAAGCATGTCATGTCTTTTCTACAGACTCGTAGCTGGTTTCGTAGATTTGTGCCAAACTTCGCAGAAGTATCCAAACCACTAAGTGATTTGACGAAAAAGAGAGCTACGTTCTCGTAGGGTCCCACCCAACAAGAAGCCTTCAATAAGCTGAAAATTCTATTGACTACTTCCCCAATATTGAAATGAGCAGTTTCATCTTCACCATTCATCCTTAAAACCGATGCCAGCTCTTATGCTATCGGAGCATGTTTGCTCCAGGGGGAGGGGGAAGATGAGCGACCTGTTGAGTATGCAAGCAGACTACTCACAGCAGCAGAAAAAAATTACAATACGACAGAGTGCGAAGCTCTTGCTATTGTCTACGCATTAAATAAATACAGAGGGTATATTGAAAATTCCCCGATTATAATAAAATCTGACCACCAACCTCTACGCTGGTTGATGACCTTGCGGACACCTAGTGGACTCCTTGCTCGTTGGGCACTGGACCTCCAGGGCTATGATCTCCGAATCGAATATATACCTGGCAAGACCAACAGCATTGCCGATTTATTGTCACGCCCACCGTGTGACGTGACGGATCGAGATTCCTGCGAGGTGTGCACCATCGCTATAGACCTACCGACCAAGGGTAATACAGCACTCAGAGAAGAGCAGTTGTCAGACCCAGAAGTCAATAAAATTATCGATTGTTTCGAATCGCCACAACCGAACCAGGTGGACTTCAGCCGCTGAACGGATAGAGGATATATCATGACGAAAGGAGTGCTTTATCGCTTTACCCCTGATATTGAGTCAGAAGAGGCTCAATTAGTTGTACCACAGTCGAAGGTATTGACAATCATGAAGGAATACCATGATTCCGCCACTGCAGGACATTATGGCGTGGACAAGACCATGCAACGGATCAGTTCCCGTTATTATTGGCCGACGCTGAGGCGAGATGTTACCAATCACATCAGGAGATGTATTGATTGCCAAAAATTCAAACCAAATAATCTCAAGCCGGCAGGCATGATCCAAACACCTGTTTTAGCTCAGAGGTTCGAAACTATAGCCATGGATCTCGTGGGACCGCTTCCTGTGACTAAAAAAGGATATCGTTGGATATACGCAATAGAAGACACTGCCACCAAATGGATAGAGCTGTTTCCTTTGCGTAATGCTACCTCAGAAGAGTGTGCTAAAAGATTGGTTTCGGAAGTTTGCTTACGTTACGGAACTCCTCGACGAGTCATAAGCGACAACGGATCACAATTTGTGAGTGGCATAATGCAGCATGTAGTCCATAGTTTTGGAATGCAACAATCTTTAATACCAGTATGTCATCCAGCTTCTAACCCAGAAGAACGAAAAAATCGAGACCTGAAAGCTCAGCTCGCTATCCTAGTTCAGGATAATCACACTGGATGGGACGAAATGTTACCTTTAGTGAGGTTCGCGATGAACAGTGTTCCCAACCTCAGCACGGGACATTCACCGGCGTATCTCAGTTTCGCGCGTGAAATGCGTACGCCCCTCGATGTTCAACAGGACATGCGTGTAATATTAAGAGACAATAACATTGTACCGGAAATAACGCCCTATTTGAAAAGACATGTTGAAACATTGCAACGCGCTCGCGAAATCAATGAACGACAACAGGACATTTCCAAAAAAGTACGCGGATGGACATACTCGTGAAGCGCCGCTTTATAAACCCGGTGATAAAGTGCTTATTGATACTCACTTCTTGAGTAACGCGAGTGCCGCGTATACGTCCAAATTCGCACCACGACGCGACGGACCTTATGTGGTGTTAAGACAAGTATCACCGACTTCCTATGAAGTTGCTAGTCTCGAAAATCTCACCGTGATGCTCAGCAAGTACCATGTCTCTGCTATGAGACCCTTCATCGCAGGTGAGGTAGGCCAGTCGTATAAACCTATACGGCAACTCCGTCGCCGAGGCCGCCTTAAACACCAGGGTCAACACAAGCTTCTTCTAGAGGAGGAAGCCGACCAGGCCCAATCCGAGCTTCTTCAGGAAGAGGAGGACTACCAGGCTCACCCTGAGCTTCTTCAAGAGGACTCACCAGTGCACGCTGGCAATCAAAGTGCCAGACCAGAGCGTATCCGGAGGATGCCTCCACGCTATTTGGAGTAACTTTTCTTGTATCACTCCCGAGTCGTTTGAGTGATACAAAGGGGGAGATTGTAACGAGAATAGTATTTTGGACCTTACGCCGGCCCTGTTCTAGTATCTAACAGGCTCTCGCATGAGTTCTGAAGTCTGACACTTGAGAGTGACAGTAATAAGAAGACCGTTTCATCCCAGTGAATTACTCTCGCTGCTTTTCATCATTTAATGTTGTATTTTCATAGTTAAATTATCTTTCACTAGCTTTTATTATTATCTAAGTGTTCAAGTACCAGTGGAATATAATAATTCGTAATTTCACCTCTTAACCATTCTTCACAAACGAGTAACCCAAAACCTAACCCTACTATACTATCATTTTGTTTCAGATATAATGTAGTTAGTAGGATTTTTAAATGAATAATCTCCATTCGCAGCTCACTAGATGTATGTTTGAAGTATTTCAATTGACCTCATGACATTATCGAGAGAAATAACCTATTTTTTTCAGAGTGACGTGAGCAGCAAAGACACAGAAGAAGAAAATGAGCAGCAAAAACAGGCAAGATACATAGAGTTTCAGGAAAAAACTTCAAAAGGCACAGTTAGCGGCTCTCTGCTCTTCAAATACTTTTCTTCAGGCATGAGTTGGTGTCAAATGTTTCTTGTGCTCTCAGTTCTTATTTTCGCTCAAGCAGCCATGAATTTCATCGACTGGTTCATCAGTTATTGGACTGCTATTGAGGAATACAGAAACGTTACTATCTCAGACACGGAAAGCCTCAAGAATATTCCGACTGTTGATTGGTCCACCGAGACTTGTCTTTACATTTACGGAACCGGAGTAGCCATACTCTTCATCGGTTCTTTATCAAGAACAATCGTGTTCTACAAATTCATCATGCAATGCTGTGTTAATCTGCACAGTATGTTATTCAATGGAGTTATACATGCTCCTATGAGATTTTTCGAGACAAATCCTAGTGGAAGGATTTTGAATAGGTTTTCAAAAGATGTCGGTGTGATTGATGAGGGGATGCCAAGGATGCTATTAGAAACGGGAAGGGTAAGTCATCATCTACTTTATAGTGCGTCTTCTTCAAGGACACCTGAATATGAAGACTTGCTATAGGTATTTTCCGAATGAACAAGTGCAACTCTCTCATAATAAATGATCACGAATGTCAATTGATAAAATACCCTGTATTATGTAGATGATATTTGTTCAGACATAGCATAGCATTGAAATGATGTGTTTTGATGCCAATTTGAGAGTATTTCAGTTTGGGCACTCTTGCACTTATTTCAAAAAATAGATTATTTTGGTTCCTGCGACATTGTGTCCTTTCCGCATTCAATTGAAAATAATTGACAATTGATTACCAAGATACAGAGAGTGTTTTTTCCCAATCCTGCTCTGTACCTTCGAAATCGAATGACCTATAGGAATTACACTGAGTAGACTTGGCCAAGTGAATAGTTTGTATTAGAAGAAGTGAATTGTGTTCTTTACCAACGATAGGAAAATAAGGTACTTGAAGTAGGCGAAACAATGTTTCTGAAACAATGTTTTCGCTGTAAGTGATCAGGACACTCGTTGGTTTTACCAAAATCAATATGTATTTTGAGGTCGATTATTATGAGTTGACAATAGACTAGTGCTAGGTCGATAAATATAGGTAAATCAATACTCACCATTATGGTGGTGGTGAGTATTGATTAACCTATATTTATTCATTCATTCACTCCTGTTTTTGAAGCAATGTTCTGCACAAATTTATACAATGAATTGGTAATCATTTTCCTCCACAGAAACGCAACAAAATGGAAAAAGGAATCAGGAGACAAAAATGTTCAGTTAATCATTAGGATATAGAGATATAGAATTGAAGAAAATCCGTGGCGCACATTTTATTTTGACAATAATATTCGGTAAAGTGTCTTTGGGACGCTAATGGATTTCACAACTCTAATCTGGAAATGACTCAATCAGCTCCTTATGAAGAAAGAATACCATTGCCAAATTTCAAGAAAAACGGTGGAAAGATATTTGAGATATTCATAAAATAACGATTTTTTCTAAAAAGTTTGACACCCTGTATCTTGAAAACTATGCATTTCCGGACCCAAGTATATATGAAATGAATTTCATGTTTTCTCATGCAGAATCACCCCTTCGATTTTTTGCTGATAATTTCCGGACACCCTGTATAATAGCTCACTTCTCACCTTTGGTGTATAATATACTATTTCCGTCGACCTCGTATTAACGACTGAGTTCAATGTATATGAAATCGTTCATTGATGACCCCCATTAATGAACGACTCGTCTATTAATACACGATTGTTTTATAGGCAATCAAACATACAACGCGTGCATTCATTGTTTATGCTATAACTTACGGAATCTGCATTTAAATCGATAATATGGATTTCATCGAAGTTTTTCCGTTAACGGGTTCGCCTTTCCAAGTTTCTAACACGATTTTAATCCCTGTTTTCTAACACAAGGAATTTATTTTCTATGTTGATTATTTCGACAAATGTCAAATGTCACTAATGTCAGTAATAAGGCTACTGGGTGATTCTTAGCAGTTTGCGGATGAATGATGAATTCGCGAACCAAGTTTTCTTCATTGCAGGAGAAATGAGAAATAAAGTCGACGGAAAAATTTCGTAACCAACTTGTATATCAAAAGGCAATTGATGATCTCGAACATTAACGCGCTCGCTTCGCTCGCACGTTGGAATATCTCGATCATCAATCGCCCTCATTAATACACTAGTTGGTTGAATAACTATTGGTCGTGCAGGCGGCGAGTCTTTATACTTTATTTCTTCATTTATTGAAGATATTGAGTGAATTGGCTCACTGATAAGATGCAAGACATTGAATGAATTTGATACATCTGGTGACATTATATAATAACTTACCTATGTTGCATATTACGATACAATGAAAATTGCTGCTGTGAAGTTTCATCAATTCATCAGTGATAGTGAGTATTTTTTCAGCAATGAATTGATGGAATTCCATCCTAGACAAACTTAGGATCAATACAGTAATTTTTTTGCAAAAGTCCGAATGGATTTATTCGTCTGTGTCGTGTACCATAATATTTATGTTCCCTTCGAAATGTTTCGTTAGTGTATTCTAGATTCGAACATCAGATATCACACCAGATACCAATCCACTTATAAAATGCTGCGCTTGGATATGTTAACGGTTTGTTGTGGATTATTCTTGAGTATCCATCTCTGAAAAGTTTCTCTGGAGATTTTAACCCGTTTTTTCCCAATGGTGCGCTAACGCACCGCAATTTTGTTATTTTTTGCCAGCAATATAATGTTGATATCGCGAATATCAGTCGTTATTGACTGAGAAAAAATTTATGAAGTTATATCAGAGAAAAAAAATCAGATGTTAGTGTACTTCGAAGTAGGGTGAACATTACTTTGGCTATATACATTTCGTTACCACTGACGAAATGTGACTTTGGAAAAATATTTTCTATCCCAGTTTTCATCAATGTGTAATTTTTTAGTGACTCAATATGATATATCACACATCAATTTGTTAAAATGAAAAATTAGAGAATTTCAGCAGTAATAAAAACATAGGTGCGTTTGCGCACCACTGGTATCCTGCGTGAGCTCCAACAATATTTCGACATGCTCAGACAAGATTTACTTAGCTGTTAGACTAGCTCAGAATGATTCATAACCAATTCGTTAGTGGTGTGGGATAGTTTTTCGCTTATTATAGTGACTAAAAATGTCTTCCAGAAAGTTTTCGACCCCAAAAGAACTACTATCAGCTTTATAGGAAGCAATTGATGAACTAGAATTGGAGGGACATGAATATATTCACATCAAAGTACAACCAATTCATCTCGTGAAACGATATAATCGGAAGGTGAAAAAATAAGTCAATATACCCCAGCCTCATGCCATGACCGATCCATGAGAGGGACCTCCATGATAATGGTATTGCAAATTATAGATGTAGAGTGTTGGGAAAGAAATGGTAGTGGCCCATGTTTCGCAATGCTCTAGATAGTATAATTGTCAATGCTTGGAAGCTCTATAATGTGGCTAATCAATCCAGAATGTGAAAAATTGAATTCAGATCATACGTTGCTCTACGTCTCTTGAAAAATGAGAGAGTATACGTTGTGAGAAATATACCTCGCCCTGTTGCTGAAATTCGTTTCCATAACATTGGCCAATGAAAATAAAGCTCAAAGAAGATGTAGAGTTTGTCATAATCACCCAATTTATATTTGTCGATAATGTAACGAACATTTGCACGTATGATGCTTCGCAAAATATCACCAAAGGTAGATTATTTGATTGTTACTTCCTACCAGTGGTTCGTTCATGCACACATGAGCAAATCGAGATCACCTAGTTTATTTTCAACTCATTGGGGCCCAACTATTTTTTTTTTGAATTTTAGTGTGTGGTTTTCGCTCTCCATAAGCAATTCAATGATTAGAACTAGTTTTTCAAAAATTGAAAAGATATATTTTCTTACTTTTCTTGCCAGTGGTGCGTGTATGAACCATCGTAATTTTTTGTGAAGTTAGTTTTTTCCATTGTCGTCGATCACGAAAACTCATTTTAGAATGTAAGATAATAAATATTTTTTGTCTAGAACACATTTTATCATATTTTTCGTATACTTGAGATCAAATGGGTTAACCTGTTACACTCCTTCAATTCTAGGATACCATATGAAATCTGCGGTTGCACTTATGCATTATACATAATTTTCAAGTCCTCGATATCGAGTATAGTTTCGAAGAATTTATATGTACCTACAAGAGAACTCAATTTTGTAACAACATTGTCGACTCGGTTGTTCCATGTCAGGTTATAGGTAATGATAATTAAAATGGATCTATATTATTTTTCATTCTCATATTCGAGGAATTCTCAGATGATAAAATTGATCATTATTTTTCAGACGCTTCTTCAGATATTGGGATCCATAGTGCTCGTTCTGTATGTGAATCCGTATTCCTTCATCCTATTATTCTTTCTGTCGGGTATTTTCGTGTTCATGAGGAGAATTTATTTGAAGTCCTCCAAGAATATCAAGAGATTAGAAGGAAGAAGTAAGTATTGCTTTGATAAATAACAGTTCGGATTTTTTACGAGAGGATGAATCTTGTCTTTTCAATCGACTACTGATAAGCGATATTAGACTCGATCGCGGATAGAGATGACAATATATAGGTCACGTGTACGATGACCGACCCTGGAGGTGAAATATTGAAACACAACCTCACTTTCCTGTGAAACATCGGAACACAACCTCATTTCATTCATTTGTTCACAGAGGAATCAAAGGATTGAAATAGTTTTCCACAATATTTTGCCTTTCGATTCGTTTTTGCGTTATCTGTCAATACAAGCATGTCTTCTCATTGTGCTATTTCATAATGCACAAAAATGCAGCGAGAGTCGAAGGAGTATGATTTTTCAGGTGAATAGTAATTTTACGTAGTTTTCATTATGAAATTTTGTCATTTCTTATTGGAATTCATCCTACCACTTCTGCAATAGAAGCTAATACTGCTTATAGAATGGAAATGTCTACACCACACACGATCATATTTCGTCACCAAGTCAGACTAGTTTTCTCGTTCAATTGCATGAATCCAAGCTTCTTGCATTATTTTACAGATTTCACAAGTTTTTTCATTAGCTCCTTCTGCAGGAGGAATTCCGATGGGGAATCAGAGAAGTTATCAAATTTCAGGAATGAAAAGTATATAGTAGGTACTTATTCTCAAATCATGATTTACCAACCGGATTCCTTCGTTTCCCGCTGCATTTTTCGTGCATTGCACATCAGCACAATGTGATAGCATGCGCGAATTGATGAATACCAGAAAAACACGATATGTATGCCAAAATAATTGCGAAATACTATTTCAATCACTTGTAAACAAATCAGAGGAGTGAGGTTGTGTTTCAATGATTCACCTCTAGGGTCTTGCAGACAATCCATACTGTTCTGTCTCTTTAGTTCCATGCTTAGCCTCGATAAGCATGCAATTATCCCTTTATTCAAACTCTTCGTAATGAGAGCATGGTACAGTCAAGAGATATTGAATTCTATAAGATTACTCACTTACTAGGATTTGTTTGTCTTCTTGACTTGACATTGTGTTATTCGCTTTTTTATTCATCATTGTAACTACTGCCAAACAGTTTCGGTTGATCGACAGGTAATTAGATATCGATTTCAAAGGCGCTGGCAGGCATTAACTGACAGAATCCAGTGATTGGCCAGCAAGCGGCGAGATCTCTCAGGAGGCGAAAAATAATCAAAATAAATAATATTTGAAGATGTCGTCGATCACGCGAGCAAGCGGCTCGAGTTCAAATAAACTTTTCGAAAACTTTGCTTCATAACAATAAGGTTTATTGATGCCAGGTCAGGTAAGATTGTTCAGGAAAAGTAGAAAGAATATTTTCCATCTTTATATCCTTCTTATATTAGGCAGACTTATGTTAGACAGTTCAGCAAAAGTTGTTCCGTCTTTTATGCATAGGAGATATTTTTGTTTATTATAGTATACAGGGTGGCCCACGGTCGATGGTACCTTAGACGTATACGGAAAACGGTACATTAATTATCCTGAAAATTTGGTTACTTCAATAACCGTTTGTGATCTAACGATTCATAATATTTTCAGCGATGCAGCGTTGCCACTTTCACCAAGAAGTAGCATCATCTGTGGTTTTTCAAATGGAACACCCTGTTTTTCGTTGCGTTTTTGAATTCTTCTCGAAGAGCTGATTTCATCACGTCATACGTCTAAGGTACCATCGACCGTGGGACACCCTGTATATGAGGCCCAGTTAAGAAGGAATTCTATTGGTCACTAGTCTATCAGCAGCCGATCAAAAAGAATAGATTGATCCTCTGGTGATTTTTACGACAACTGATGTATGTTTTTTTTTCAGTGAGTAGTCCTGTATTTACACACCTGATGGCGACACTACAAGGACTGACGACAGTTCGAGCATTCAAGATACAAGATATACTAGAAGAAGAATTCGATAAACATCAAGACTATCACACCAGTGCCTTTTACATGTTTATATCGACTAATTCTGCTTTCGGATTATCTTTGGATTTATTTTCGATAGTTTTCATTGGGGTTGTCACATTCAGCTTGATAATATTCGCAGAAGGTGAGTACATCACTGTTTCTTTTTTTTATCGAAAATGTAACATCCCAGTTCGAAACGAGTTCGATATAGGGAAGTAGTCAACAATAAGAACAATTCAATAACTATAACAGAATTATTCACAACATATCTTATATTGGAATCCATCTTATGAAGAATAATCCTATATTGTTGAACAACCTCACTGTTGATATTTGGTTTAAGGGTTGGGAGAAACATGAATTGATCATGCCTTTACTTCGGAGGATTACGTACAGAAATGATGAGGTTCATAAGTTAATACCGAATTTCATTATATTCCAGCAAACGTTCTCATGATGTATCATTAGCCACTTGTATATGTTGTATATTTCATCATATAGTTTGATCCCCATGAGTAGAAAGTGTCGAATCAACTGAATATTTCCACGTTCACTACACTGTTTGTACATGACGTAACTTAGTGAATTGCTCCAACTGCGATATATTGCAATTGAAATAATTCCAAAGAAGTGAATGGATATGGTATCCTCTTAGTTTAAACTGTTTATGATATTATTGAAGTATTTCAAGTATCAGCAATATTTTTGTATTTTATCGTTTTGTATCCGTATGGGATGAAAACACTGCGACCTGAAAGATCTCTTTCGCACACTCCTCATGATATACCCGATGATGTTGTTCTCTGTTGCTAAAAGGATTCCTGTAATCATATAAGATTTTCTTCTTCCACCAACAGAACCTGCATTCTTGTTTCTCTTCTATGCCGAGCTTCCTCAGATGTCCTTCCGAGCAACAGACCTGTAAGGACTTTCATTAGTACACGAAGTTGAAACTATTCAAGTATTTATTTCATTGGTGAACTATTTCTTTGGATTTGCATTTGTATCAATGTGAGATACTCTCTAATGACATTTCAATTGGAAATCAATTCGATTCGGAAGTCGAAAAAATTTTGTATGCAACATGTGCAAAAATTGTATTCGTTTATCATCTCGAGCTGCAATCTTCATGGATCATGCGACAAACATATTATTTTGCACTAGTTCAACGGTAGCTATTTATGTAGCAAGTGTGTGAAGTGTTCTCTTTTCACGAGTAGGCAATGATGACGAACGTCGCCGCAGGTAGAAGACTGCATTGCTATAAATGAACAATATTACTCTACTCATCACGTATTAGATACATTTTTTTTTTCATTTGCTATGAAACCAATTATTCACCCTTTTTCAAGGCGAGAAGTGTATTCTCACCAATAAGGAAGTTTTCGTCATTTCATGAACCGATAGTCAATGCTGTCATGGTGATGGAAACGAGATTTCAAATCGAATTGGAGAGAAGTGCTTGTATAGTAACATTAGGGCCATATTTCAGTTTCACAAAACGAAAATAATTGAAATGTATTGCTAGAAGTGAGAGAAATGTAATGAACACCTTGGTAGTGAAGAAAATTAATATCACGGGACATTGTATCTCTCGGCATAAGCTTCTGGATATAATCTTGGTTCCTGGGTTATACTGATATTATTTACTACCTTGGTGTATAAAAAACAATTGTACATACGTATATGTACAACAAGCCCAGCTAAAAGGCATTCTGGATAGTGCTGGCATTTTATTATCGCGTGTACTACATAGTGCAGTTGCACTATCGCTTTACGCGACATGTTTTTTAGGAGAACCATGTCCAGACCATCAAGCCCTGGCGTTTCATTGATATTTAGATGTTTTATAATTTCTATAATTTCTTTAGGTGTTAATATGAATATTCTTTCCTAGGCTTGTCGCGAGTGCAGGATGTTGAGCATTGATCTCACTCGTGCTGCAGTTTGCCACCATGTCCTCTTGGGTCGCACCTAATGTTTTCTTGTTGATATTTGATATGTTTGAAAGTGTTTCTCAAGCACTACGGCCTTCTCAAGATCTGACATCGCTTCCTCGCAGCCATACTCCAGGGTAGGTATAGGTGTGTATCGTTTTTTCAACCTTTTTGACATTTTCCATAGAGAATTGTCTCAAGGGTCCAGACTCCATTTTGGCTCTCCAGGAGGAGTTCCTGAGCTCTCGAGTGTCATATTCAATCTGGTTTCAGATTTTGCTGAAGGCGCCTCCGGCTTTCAGTTTTTCAAGCCGTTGCCAGCGATGCTACAGATCCTTTCTTTTGCTATGAGCTCTAGAATTTCCTCTGGGAGTTCGTCCTTGTTGGAGGCAATGCTGACTCACCTCGTGGTGGAGTCTCTGGCCGACGTGATGTTTATCTTTTCAATCCATATTTCTTTTGCTTTCGGTTTTTTGATCCAGCTGAGCTCTAAACCTCCGCCAGTTCGTGTTTTTGTGATCGAATATTTTCTTTATGATTTCTGGAGGTTTTTGTCCAAATTCGAACAGAACTGGCAGATGGTCAGAGCTCAGCTCGTCCACTACCTCTAGGTCAGAGCTCAGCTCGTCCACTACCTCTAGGTCAGAGATGTCCACCACGTTTCTGGACAGCACTATGTCCAGGACTGTCCGTGTCATTCCATTGGTGGGGTAGTGCGTGGGAGTATTTGGGTAGTCCAGGTTGACATTGGTGGCTTGCAGGTATGCTCTCAACCTGCTCCCGTTCTGATTGTTCTGGACCTGGTTCCCCCAGTCAGCATGTCGCGCGTTGAAATCGCCCCCTATCGTCACTCTGTTGCCAGAACTAGCCAGTGCCTCCAGATCTTGTTCTGTGAACTTGTTTCTGGGCCTGTTGTCCGCTGCGAAGATGATTTTTCCACTCTGCAGTCTCACCCTGGCATGCTCAATAGATGTTTGCCTTGGTGAGACCACGGTGTGGAGGGATATCGAACGGCTAGTGCCTTACCTGAGAAGTTAGGGTGATGTCCTAGTATATCAGCTGACATTGTGTCCCTGATATTACTTATCATATATGAAATGATAGTTCTGAACACAGAGGGGTAATGTGATGTTTCCATGAGAGTTTCCTATCAATTTTCATACCTAATAATTCAATATTCTCCTTGCTCCATCTTGATTTTTAATCCATTGTTAGGTAGATGTCGTTAACAGTTTAAGCGGTATCGAGTGCAAGGCCATTTCTGCTGCATGAGTCCTCAAGTTCCTTTTGTGTTTCATGGCCACTATTCACTAGTTGTTTTTCATTTGTACAAGACACCAAAATAATCGTATCGTCTGCATAGAGAACTAAACTACTTACCAGATGAAGTGGGACAGCCAAAAAATTGTCTAATTTTGATAAACTATAACTCGAAAATTTCTTGGCCGATATTGGATTTTCAACTAAAGGTACAAAGCGTCATCCTTGGGCTATGCATCATTGGCGTCGGGTTATTATTTTTGCGATTCGTTCTCTTTGTACAGAGTGTGAATTAAGAGCCGGAAAAATTTCAAATGTTTGACCAATAATTTGGGAAATGTGGGGGACCCTAGAATTCTTTTTCAGATGTTGGGTGAATGATTGGTCCGATACCTCGAGACGTCTTTGAAATTTTTTGGATAAATTGCGTTGCTATGGAAAAATCGCCATTTTATGAAATTTCATTTTCAATTTGAAAAATGGCCTCTTTTAGTTAAACAATAACAGCCAACATCTGAACTGGAGCAAGGGATATTTCTACTGAAGATAATTAACACCAGTGGCGCGCAAAAAGGGGTTTATGATATTTAGAAACGAAAAATTCGTTTGTATTGAAAAAATTCAACAGTTTTATTGATCGTTACAGTTGAAGAGGTGTCAAATCCTCAATTAGCATGTTGTTGACAAATTCAGAGGCGTGCAAAATTGAAAATCAGAATTTCAGTCTCATTATCATTGTTTTTTTACTAATTCGAGGTGAGCATCCAAGTAATCCATTGGCGTATTAAAAATGATCCATCATCAAGGCGATTCAAAAAGTTTGATATGGAAACATTTTTAATAGTTGTATCCAGTGTTGTTCTTTGTTCCCTAGTGGAAATTTTCTTGTATCAATATTCATGAATGAAAATTCAGGAACGTAATTCTGGCTTCTGATGTTTTCCGAGCCGTACAATTTGATGATTTCGTCAAAAAAAAATTCAAAAAATCTTGTCTTGATGTTTTTCAATAGAAAGTTTTTGTCGTTTCTAAATATCATAAACTTCTTTTTGCGCACCTCTGAATTTGTCAACATCATGCTAATTAAGGATATGACACCTCTTCAACTGTAACGATCAATAAAACTGTTGAAGTCTTTCAATAAAAACGAATTTTTCGTTTCTAAATATCATAAACCCCTTTTTGCGCGGCACTGGTGTTAATTATCTTCAGTAGAAATATCCCTTGTTGCAGTTCAGATGTTGGCTGTTATTGTTCAACTGGAAGAGGCCACATTTCAAATTGAAAAAGAAATTTCATAAAATGGCGATTTTTCCATAGCAACGTAATTTATCGAAAAAATTTCAAAGACGTCACGAGGTATCGGACCAATCATTCACCCAACATCTAAAAAAAAATTCTAGGGTCCCTCACATTCCCCAAATCATTGGTCAAACATTTGAAATTTTTCCGGCTCTCAATTCACACTCTGTACAAAGAGAACAAATCGCAAAAATAAAAACCCGGCGTCAATGACGCGTAGCCGAAGAATGACGCATTCTACCTTTGGTTGAAAATCCAAGATCGGCCAAGAAATGTTCGAGTTATAGCTTATCAAAATTAGTCAATTTTTTGGCTGTCCCACTTCATCTGGTAAGTAGTTTATATGATCTGCCGTAACACAGGTTTATTCGATGTCACTCGTGAAGATTATTCACAAGATAGAGCCTCAAGTTACCCCTTAATAGTAACTTCTTTTCTCATTACATTTTATAGTATCAGGGACAGTTTTTCAATCTCTAGCAGATGAATGAGAAGTGTTGTGAAGTACCCTTCACACCCTCTACGAGGTGCTACTGACTTTTTTACTATTTTTGATTACATTCCCATGATGCCATATTGCGTTATTGATTATTGCAATCTCTTTTTTAATGCTAATGTTATTTTATTCGCTAGCCGACTCCAAATGTTTTACATACCTACCATTTTGTCATGTCATGTTTCTATTGGTCAATTACCATCACGCGACGGCGATTCGTAGGCGTCTCCTAGCGTCAGCTTTGAAAGAGGAGATTGTTCGAAATAAAAGTAGATTATCACCCGACACCGCACTGAATGTAATTCCTGTATGCCGAGAATGTCAACCGGCATTCTGTGGTAGCTGTCGCAAGTTTTTTTGAATACATCTTTTGTGGAACCAAAGATTAGTTATGTTTTCTTGATTCTTGCAACCCCAACTACAACAGTGGTGTCAGGTGTGGGGTGTTAAATTCCAGCGAAAGAGCTGAAAATTGTGAATAACCGGTGTTAGGTGGTTGAAAGTAAATTTCAGCGAACAGCCGCGCGTTCAAAGTATTCTTTTCTGCTGCTAGAATACCTACGTGAAAAGTAGTTGTTGGGCATCGAGAACACAATCTGTTTCACAATAATCGTACATCTTCATTCATCTGGATACCAGTAAGTGCATAGTGTTAGTGTCATGTGTTAATCCGCACGCATCGTCATAGATATTCGCTTCAGGGCAGCCATATCTCTCAATCTAGATATCAGGAATTGCGAAGTGTCAGTGGCAAGTCTTGATCCATATGGAAATCCAAATTCGTCATCATCATGTACCCAGCCAGACCAACACCACAGACTCCCATAGCGTATTTGTAAATATTCTGTATTATGTGTCATTTTGTAGCATTATTATAAAATTTTGTTTCTTCATCATGGATAATATCGACAACAACAATCGTAGGAGAAACATCGGACATATAACTCTTACGGATGATATCGTTCCACCGAACTCCATCGTACTTCTTTCCGCACTTGTTAGGTGGATAACTATTTTTTAAACAGACTGTATTGGAAAACGGAACAACCTCATTCATTTCATGCTGAGCTATCAATTCGTTAAATACTCGTGTGCCTCCAGAAATATATCCCGGATTCATCTGGCTATATCCTCGATATCCTCTGATGTAGTGTTGGAGCCTACATCACTTCTTACTCTTGTCATGTTTATATTCATTTTGCTCGATCATATCGACAGCCGCGAGATCACTTCATAAACTTCACATGTCGCTAATTATTAATGGCATCTGATTGCTAAGAATCAGACACAGCCACGTTGAGCTGATTTGACTGAATCGCTCGATCGTTTAATTCTCACTCAATCTCCAACACGAGCAGAGTCATCGGCTAGTAAAGCAACGGTGAGAAGAAGTGCACTCATCCACAATTTTTCGTCAAGTAATGACACAGTATTTTTGATATCGACGCATAACAAATTTCAGGCACACAAATCACATTGGGAGAGTCCACTTACTAGACATTCGGAGAAAAATTACTATCTTCTTACTTTTTCAGATCTAGAAATGACAGGAGGCCAAGTGGGTCTAGCGATTTCTCAAGCAACCCTATTGTGCCAGAGAACCCAGTTTGCAGTTCGCTTCACAGCAGAGATAACTAATCAGCTGATGTCGGTCGAGCGAGTGCTGGAATACAAAGGAATGGAAGCAGAGAAACAGCCCTTGGTACCGAAAGTGCCTTCGTCGTCTTGGCCCGAAAAAGGGTTAATTGAATTTCAACGAGTGAATTTCAAATACTATGAGGGTGGACCAGTTGTGTTGGAAAATGTGACTTTCAGCATCAAGGAATGTGAAAAGGTGAGTATTGTGCTTCGATGCCGATGAGATCAAATTTTTACCATAACATATGTGTGTGCTAACCATTCAGGTTGAAAGTACCAGGTTCTCTTGTTGTTAGTGAAGTTAGGGCCTTGCAGTTCCTTTTCCACATTCTGCTGGAACTCGAGAATCATTAAATCACGCACCATCTCATGAAAAAATGTATTCAGGTGAAAATGTCTGTTTTTCGTTTTATATGTTCTAGCTGAAATCATTCCAAGTGTATGACCAGATCAGGCGCAAGAAAGTAAAACATAATGAATTTTCTGTATTTTCGAAACTTCGACACTTAATGGAGAATATCAAAATCTTGTGATGGGCATTGATCCTACCAAGATTTGCCAAAGGTTGGTATGTTTCGGGAGAACAAAAAAGATGCAGTAGCTTTATTACGGGGTGGTCAACAATAAATTGATTTTCAGAGAATGCGAATGCCTTCATTCACGAGACAGTTAATTCATTGAGTTCATCTATGATGATCGATCAGAATATACGTTGATCGATATTGAGATAATGATAATTATCGATACAGGTAGTGATCTGAATAACAGATGATAACAATAAACTCTTTCGGTAATTTCAATCATGGCAGAGTCCTGAATATGTCCAATTATGTTATTTTCTGAATTTGTTAGACAAAATACAACAATCGTCATGATTTCCTGTTCGCTTTCCTGTTATATATAGAAATATATATTGATGGAATATCAGTGATAATTGAAATCTATAACCGCGTTCTGTATTGAGTACGTTATCTCAGACACAAACACTTTCTGGAAGGTTCATGTTAGATAAATATATGTAATCTATAAGCATATAGAAATCTTCTTGGAAATATTAGTGGGATGCAGTCTGGACCAATGAATTAATTGAATTTCTTCGTTATTTGTCGAGCTTTCGAAAATTTTTATTATCTTTATCAAGACTAACTGAAAACATCGAATGGAACAATAATATTAAAATATAAATCTACATCCATTGAAATTGGTATACTTACAAACATGAAATTCTAAATAAAATTAGCACAAATAGGAAACATAGGTGTATAAATAAAATGAAATGATTTGACAAAAAAATGTTTCCTTTTTGTGCTAATTTTATATAGAATTTCATGTTTGTAAGTATACCAATTTCAATGGATGTACATTTATATTTTGATATTATTGTTCCATTCGATGTTTTCAATTTTCAGAAGCTCGACAAATAACGAAGAAATTTAATTCATTCATTGGTCCAGACTGCATCCCACTAATATTTTCAAGAATATTATTATAGAACAGTCACGAAAGCTTTGAGTGAGATAGTTCGTTTCACTAGTGGTTTGAGGAGACTATGAGCTTCAATGAGATATTTCACTTTCAATCAGAACAGTTTTGTATAAACATTCATAAGCCTCAGAAGATATGGAGAATGTGTAGGAATTCAAAAATGTAATTCTATTGAGTATATTCAGGGAAGAAAGTTCGAGATTTGAAAATTTCCTACAAGGACAAGAAGTGATAACTAATCTGAAATGAGTCGTATCTAGAGTAGAAATGAGCAGAAAAAGATAATTCTCACATCATGAATGAGTTGTATCTTGGAGTACCAGAATGAATTCTGTAATTCATCACGAGAACCAAGTGAAATTGAAGGAATACTGCAGTTTGGGGAAAATGAGATGAATGATTTTGTCATTTTTTCAAATGTCAAAATGTTGTCAGTGCCGTATTCAGGAGAAGTAATACCAATACGAATGTTCATCGAGGATAATGTGAGATACCTAACTCCCTATATATTGATTGAATTGGTACGAGATGTCACTCTAGTAACCTACCCTAGTACCCAGTAGTACCTTCCAAAGATTTCGGAATATTATTTAAAATCTGGAAATTGAATTGTTCTCCATCTTCACTACTGAACGCTGCATTTTTTTATGGGGGTAGGTTGATTTCAATCGGCCTATTTCGATCTCTAGTTCCCCCTGTATGATTTATGCAACGTTGTTCTGAGACACCTTGTTTATACCTCCGAATTTTTCTCATTCCGTTTCTCATAGGTTCTTCTTTCGACATCAATATGACGTCTAAATATGACGTCTTATGACTGTGACATACTTACGTCATAGGATCTCTCAGGCGTCATTTCATCATGCCTACATTGTCATTTCATGACAAGGAAATTACGTCTATCGGACGTCACTCTGCTACCTGTGTTGTGGAGTTTGCGAACCCACTTAATCAATTTCCAGGGTGATTCCAATTTTGCCCTGTATAATCATATTAATATCAAATTTTTTCAGATTGGCATCGTTGGCAGGACAGGTGCCGGAAAATCTTCGCTGATATCAGCAGTTCTAAGATTAGCACAAGTAGAAGGAACTATAAAAATCGATGGCATCGATACAAGAGACATCAACTTAGATGAGCTTCGTTCGAAAATCTCAGTGATTCCCCAGAATCCTGTACTCTTCTCGGGCACTCTGAGGTACAATCTGGATCCATTCGAAGAGTATACCGATGAACAACTGTACAGAGCTCTTGAAGAAGTTGAACTGAGAGATCCAGAGAATATTATCAATCGCCTGGAGAACAGAGTGACTGACCGCGGGGCAAACTACAGTGTCGGACAAAAGCAGCTTATCTGTTTGGCAAGAGCAATCTTGAGGAACGCTAAAATTTTGTTGTTGGATGAGGCGACAGCAAATGTAGATCGACAGTGAGTACATCATTTTTGTTTGCATACAGTGGATGTCATAAGTGTCTATGAATAGTTGGTATGGTTCATAATGGAGTACACTTTTTGTGAATTAGATCTTCGATTGCGATATAACTTAGGCTTGATGGCATGAGCTCCGAAGATATTAGTGACCCATACCAGGTGAGTGGAATCCTAGTCAGTGGATGCATGAGGATCCCGGAAACGGTAGGAGCTAGAGTCTACGGTTAGCATCTTCTGAGGAGGCGAACATACCTGAACGTAAAAATGCCCTTGAGTAACTAAATTCCTCTAGGAGCGCACCAATCCATTATTTGTTCCGAACATAATGATGAGGGGATTTGAATCTCAAGTCATTGATGAATATTGAGAGATCCGTATATCAACAACAAACAGAGAACATATATAGTTGGATGTGAAATTGAAATATTTCATCTGGGCAGTAACTTAGTGATAAAAGTGCTCTTTGATCTGCAATTATTATCGTGGATTGTTCCTTCAGAACACTGAATGAAGTTAGTCCTTTCAACTAGCTCAATCAGCTGACATAGAATTTGTAGCTCCATCAATAATAACCAAATTTCGAAATAGTATGCCGACTCACTTTCGAAAACTCTATAGGTATACGTGAAGGTATTATAAATTCAATGAGCACCATAATACCAGGCGATGTAGCTTGATATTTGGATCAGAAAATTGTTACCAAACCTATCTATTTGTTTTTGATAATGTGTGGTGCAGGTAGTTTTCAATAATGCAATGCTGTTGTTCCAGGACCGAACATAGGTATTCGTAGGTAATATCCCGGGACCATGAAGAATACCCGACAATTATTTTCTTCATAGTTTTATCAGGAGTTACCTTGTATTTTGACAATATTGTGACATCATTTGATCAATGATAATCTGAATAACTCCTGAGTGCTCCTGCTCGAGGGAGTTATTCTTTGATTATCATTGGTCATATGGTCGAATTGAATTGTCTTAGAATCCGAGTTACTCAAGATGAATCATTAGAGAAAATGATAGTCTCTTATCGTCATGGTCGAGTGATATTCAGGAAAATTATTCCATGAACAGCATAAGATTATATTCATATGAATAGCAGCTTGAAATTGTAATTCAAGTTTAATTCTTATAACTCTACATATTATACTAATGTTCTTTATAAAGGCCGTCTGGCGTATTCTTTTCATGGCTTCCTTTCTACAATGGTGCTCCTGTACTTTCCTTCCTTCTCTGCGAAAAATATTGTTTGTTTTGCATTCTTGCCTTACGCGCATCTCACGTCAATTCTCAATGATGTATTTCTGTATAGTTTTCGGAGTTGAAATCCACATGAATTCAACTGTTTACTTCTTCACTATTCTCCCCAAACATCATCTCCGATTTCTCATGATTTCGGTGATCAGGATAATTTGGATATTCGCACGAGATTGAGTTTTCATGCTGTCAAAAAACATAAATTGTATAAGACAGACTCTTTACTCTTCTTGGGATTTTCTGGTATTGATTTGCGCAGATAATTACTGATTACTGTAGTGGAATTTGACTCAGAATGAGGAATTTCAATTTTTGAATGACTGATATATGTCAATCTTTGACATGCACTATCGATCTGAAAAGCCTCTCATGTTGATTGTTCATCTTAATAGCTGTTGATATTGCATATCATGTGACTTCAATCATGAAGATTCATAGGTGCAGCCAGATGTGAATTAAATAATCGTTAGTAGGTAGGTATAAGTAAAGGTATTCACTTTACTGATATATGGCGGCATTCGCCTCATGAATTGAGTAAACATGGTGCTGATCAAGTATACATATAATAACTCCACGTATAACTACAGTGTTCTCGAAAGGGAGTCGACATACTATTTGTTGATATTGTTTTCATTGATGAAGCTACAAATGTCAGCTGGCTGAGCTAGTTGGAAGGGTCAACTTCACCTAGTAGAGTATCTAGGTCGAATATCTTGCGCTGATAACGATGATGGAATCTCAAGAGGAAAGATAAATTCAACATTGAATTCAAGAGATATGTCGCAAGATGAATATATTTTTCATTGGGACACACTCAGTATACAATATTCTCAATCAATGTATCGAATGATTTTCAAATTTAGTGAAGTTATTTTGTGTTAGAGTCGATTGTGGCATTGTCGAGGTATTATACTGTCGATCGTTACTTTGCCTCATATACCATATACATGAAGGTCGTTCAACAATGACTGCTATATATTCACTTAATGAAGAGATTCTGGAAGGTTTGGAATTTAATGAAAATCCTGTGGCAGTGTTTTGTGATATGAGTCGAGCATTCGACTGTGTTTAACATGATCTTTTATTGAAAAAACTCTGCAATTTGGGCATCCGAGAAAATATTCAAGAATGGTTTGACTCTTACCTCAAAAATCGCACTCAGAGCGTGAAGATATTCCATGAAGTAGACAATGATCGAAGTCATTTCATAGCATCCCAATTACATAATGAAGTAGGCGTACCACAGGGTTCTGTGTTGGGACCTGTCTTGTTTATTATTTATATGAATCAATCACCTGTAGTTTTACCTGAGGCCTTCTCTTGTCTATATGCTGATGACTCAACACTTTTATTCACAGGAAGGAATGAGTATACTCTACAAACCACTATTCACTCCAGTCTCCAAAATCTCTCCTGCTGGTTATCAACTCATTCTCTATTTCTCAATCCATGCAAAACCTCATGCATGCGATTTCAAATACGTCAAAATGATAGTGAGCATAAGCTAGATATTCAAGTCAATGATAAGGTTATAGAAGCATGGTCAAATTCAGTCGCTATTGATATACGGCATTTATATAAATTGGATTATTTCTAAATAGATCGAGAAACTTATAGAATTTTCAAAGAGCATGGCAACATGACACCATCTCCTCCTTCCACTATGGGTAATACTCACCACAAATTATGAGCACCAAACATGAACAGGTACTAAAAGGTTCACATTCAGGCGGAACTCTCATGTAGCGCTGACAAAAGCGGCGGCCGCCTGCAACTGGTTTCGAGTCTTTACGAGGGTCAGTTAAAATGCCATGCTTAAATTGCAGTGAGAGACTCTGCTACGGGGTTCAATGAAAATGTAATTCGAATAATACGTAATTTTTCCAATATTATCAATTTTAGCATAGAAGGTCCGTTAACGAAATAATTTGTATCAATGATAAAACATTCCTAATATACCTTTCATATTTTCCCATTATCTAGAACTCATGAAAAATAACAAGAACAATATGTTATCTCAATAACGAACTCATTTCCGCTATTATAACTATGGTGCCTGTCTCTATATTTCTCAAGAGAAAGGAAATGGTGTTGTTTATTTTGGCGATATCATTGGCATTCATGATGTTTCATTTCATTTCGATACAGATTTCTACAATGAGGTAGATGAGTCAATGTGGAATGAAGTGGAGCATACTATCGATATTCACTCAAGGAAAAGCCAAAATGCTTAATTTCATTATTTAATTCCACGTGTTCTGTTTCGATAGGATATTGAATAACTCAGTCCCTTTCCTGAAAGCAATAACAGTACCTTATAACAAAATAAATAAGTGATTTTGAAGGAAAAGTACCATGACAGATTTTTTCACTAAAAATCGAGTTCGATCCTTTCCTAATAACAGAGAAAAAATGTAACGCACATGAACAGAATATATTAGATTTTGAAAAAAAAAGAACGACCCAAAGAAAACCGTGTTGTTTATTTTGGCTGCATCATTTGCATTCATGATTCATTTTATTCCAATACAGATTTTCACAATGTGGTAGATGAATCAATGGCAACTTCAACAAAAAACGAGTTCGACCCTTTCGTTATAACAACGACAAAATGGAACGTTCATTAACAAAACATTCCTTATATTATTCAGATTGTGAACAAAAAAACTTTCAATAAATGTTCTTACGAGTTCTGCGAGATATTCAATTTCATATTCAGCTCATCAATTTTTTCATTCTTATATCACGCATAGCAAATTTTATAGTATGATGAATACGAACTTTCGTATACAGGGATAACAGATATCCCAATGGGAAATGTTCGCATGGATGTGCGAATGAAATATTTTCGAATTAATCCCATGCCCTGGTTTATCAGCCTTCAACACAACACAAATTCATTCTAATAAGTCAAAATAGGTGTCTTATTGGATTCCAACCGGTATACACGTACACTGCGTTACCGAGAGTGCCAAGACGTGCAGACACCTCACCACCGATACAACAAGGCCAGCAGACTCTGACGTGAACAGCTCGTGACGTCGCCAAGGAAGGCCAGTGTTTTATTTTATCGCTTGTCGACAAACGCGTCAGTTTGTGTTAATTCATCGGTGATTCACGTATGTTTTTGAAACGGTCCCGAATTCTTTTGTTGTTTATTCATCAAAATAATTGGCGGAAAAATTTCTGTTTTGTGGAATATTTTGTGTTGTGATCGGCGAAATACCAATGCTTTTCAAGTGTTGTGTTCCCTTTTGTCGGGGGAATTATGTGGGTGGTTCAAAAGTTCATGCTTTTAGTTTCCCGTTGGACGAGGAGCTATCGAAAATGTGGTAGTAAACACAGCTTGATTTATAATGATGAATTAATAATAGAAGACAATTACTCTCTCATGAAGAGTATAAGTAGAGGAAAAATAGAAAAGCTTTGATTGTGCAGTTAGTTTTGTATTCGTATATTATAGTCAACAAAATCATCTCTAAATTCGAGGAAACTTTCTTGAATGCTCATAATAAACGGGCATTTTTGATTCTCATTCTCAAATTTCTTTCTGAAAACGGTCATTTGCCTCGTGGCAATGAATGCAGAATTCACCACAATTTTTGCCAATATATTCAATTCGAATGGGTTGCTGTAGGTGGATATTTGTGTTTCATCCTGGTATTCGCTTTTAAACTTCGTTTTTCCATAATAAAATCGAATGGGGTGCGAAGAAGGGCTCAGTTGACGACTGGCACCTTTTTTCAACCGGAAGCCCTCCAAAAAACAGCAAAATCGGCTCAATGATGATCTAAAACAAAAATCGAAATACGCGGTCGCCTTATAGCGTCATAAGCGCTTGTCGTTTCGAGCCGCTGATTAGGCCTCACTTAGTGACGTCACCCACGGAGCATGCAGTTCTTGTTGTATCGGTGGTAACGGCTGAGATCGGTGACTTGGCAGGAAGGGTTATTTTTGGGCGGAGCTTAGGGTGATCCTTCTAGTCTCTGTTTATGTTTGATGTCATGAGTGACGAGTGGCACTGTACAAAAAAAATATCGATGGTTCTCCCCTCCTCGAAGGATTTTATCGTGTCCGCTGTCGGCGCTCGGGTGAAACCGTCTCCTCAGAAAGTGCTAGCCTCAGACTGGTAGAATTAGAGCTACAGAGGATCAAATCGAGGCAAAGTTGCGTATTATGATGATCATAACAATGATGTTGAGAAAAAATCTGAGCTAGCATATACGCTTTCTGTCTAAGAGTTATATATGTACATTCAATATAATAGGTTCCCATAAACTGTTTGCACTATGTCATTGCAACTTCCAATTGGCTGCAAGAATATGTTAACAGAAGTGTCCATTAGGGTGTTGTTTTTCTTGGGCCACCCTTCACCCCTAACCCTTCCTGGGAGCTTTCAACCTCCTGAAATATCGTACTGGTCCATAAAATGTGTTTATGTGTTTGCTTTCAATCCTATTGAAAATTTTTCTCACTCCTGCACGTGAATTCTTATCGAGAAAGCCAATAATATGAATTTTCCGCATAAGTGCGATACATCAGTGAAATATGGCCCAAAGAAAACTACACCCTTGTAAAAAACTTTCATTCACTCATTTTCGCAGCAGAATGAAAGTTGCAATGACAAAGTGCAGACAGTTTCTGTAGAGGAATCAATTAATTGTATCAAGGCAGATGTCAGTGAAACACGAATATGATTCCTTTTATTTCACCCTGTATATAACAGGAAGTGAAGCTCCGTAATACGCAACTTTGCCTTCATTCAACGATCTCTGTAGCTCTTACCGTTCCCAAGATCCTCATGCACACGGAGAAAAAAATAACTTACTTTATGTGAATATTTGATAGAAGCAAGTGAAAACTTGTATACTACATGTGACAAGAAAACAAGTTGATAGCCGCAAAGGAATTCAGGTTTCCGGAAATCGACACTTGCCTGTATTCATCTGTTTCATTGACTGTCAGATTGATATCCATCAGTGAATAAATCACTCGTTGTGATGATCTACCTCCATAATGGCAACTGAACTCTTCACTCATCAGATGAAGTTATTCACTTATCATTAGTGACTTATTCACTCGTTATCAGTGACTCAAGTATAATTATCGAACTCAAAATACCTATCCTTCTGATTAATACCAATACATGTCCTAATGAATAACAGCAGAAGCCTTGTTCCATAAATATGGTTTTCCTTACTTCAAGTACCTTATTTTTCTCATTATAGGATGGGTTACAATCGAATCTTCTCAATGCATTTACTCGAATATCACTAGCTTGTAGTAACCCCAATTGTCTCGATGAACAAACATATTTTCAAATATTCAATCTCAAGCTTGTGCAATGTTTCTTCAATTCGTTCCACAACTTCATTTGTCATTCTCCAATTATCATTGATAGTTCGACAAGCATCATAATGACTTTATAAATTCACCTTCAGAATTACATTTCATACTAAGTTTTTCCTCATCATCTAAATCATGTAATCGTGAATTGACCATTATTCAAATAGGAACCTGCACATGGAAATGGATATAAATGCAGCAGAAGGTTGACTGCACAAACTCGTTCCTCGGATGGAATCTGATTCGAATAGGAGAATGAAGTTCATATGACTACAGGATCTTTATAATAAAAGAAAGAAGGAAAGCCCAGAGTCATTTCCACAAAGAAATGGAGATAACTTTGAGCTTTCCCTCTTCCTTCTGAAAAATTCCTCTCCACTTTGAGCAAACATTGCCTTTTACCAGAGATCTCCATGATGAATACCTAATTTCATTCGAATATCCCCATAATTGGTTATTTCATTTCATTCAAATTTCTTGTGTTTGCAAGAGAAATTCTTCGTGTTATTATAAAAGTGTCTGTGATCTAAGAGAAATCTACCCTACAAACTCCATTGAAATTGCAACCTGTGAACCTCAAACATGCTTGTGAAATTTGATGATAATTCGATGAAATTTGTTATAGCTAATCGTACTGAAAATCCTGTTGAAATTGAATCATTACAGCACCATACGTTTATGATTTCAAATTTAGCCAAGTTGCTCGTTGGGCCTTACACATCCACTGCAACAAAAAACTGAGAATCAAACCACACTTCTGGATCACATTATATTTCTTAAATTTTTCATCAATTTCAGGACTGATACTTTGATCCAGACAACAATCAGAACAAAATTCGCAAACTGTACAGTACTCACCGTTGCACATCGTCTGAATACAATTATGGATTCAGATAAAGTTTTGGTAGTGGATAGAGGACGAATTGTAGAGTATGATCATCCTCATCTACTCCTCCAGAATAATGACGGATTCTTCTACAAACTGGTGGATGAAACTGGTGATGCAGTGGCTGAACATTTGAGGAATATTGCCAAGGAAAGTTATAAAAGCAGAAACCATCAATAGTTGGATATGAAGTCATTCTGTAATATACATCAGTATTGTAGAATAGAATATACATTTATGTGTCCTCACTCTCACTCATTCAACTTCCCAAATATGAAGCACAGTTTATGAAATATATTCGCTTTTCTAAGTGACATTGAACAATGTATTTATATGCAAGAGCAGACGTAGAGAAGCATATTACTGTCTGGTTTTGCTGGCGTGAAAAAGCACTTTGGCGCGTACCGACTACTCAATCGTCCTGTGTGCGATAAAAATGTTCATCTCGCAATATCATCGTATATTACACCTAATTATTATCAAAAAATCTATACTTTGATCGTTTTCATCGATGCAGACTGATTGAGACCTCATAGGCAGCACAAAAAGGTCTTGAAGATATCTCGAATATATCTTCCTAGGAGATTTTGATGCCTTCTGTAACTACCAAGAGATCGCCAAGAGCACTATATCTATTTTAATTGTCCGCCGCCTAGGATGAGCAGAAAGAGATTTTGAATATATTCCACGCCGAAATTTCAATACAATGCCCTCAGGCGAGCACTTCACGATATGAGTTAATATAGCCTTGTGATAAGGACATTGAGAGATTTGCAAAAATAATTGATAATGGCAAGTCTTTGTGTGTTCGCATCTTTCAGATGTCTGAGATATTCGCACATATAACCTTGTGACGAGAACAATGAATGATTCGCATCAATTACTACTAGTGAGATTTTTGAGGGCTTGCGACTATGACCTGATTGAGATTTTCGCACACATAGCCTTGTGACGAGGACATCAAGTGCTTCTAGCAAACTCTACAAGTGCTCGCAACAATGAGTTGTTGAAGAATCCCACTACAGCCTTGTACCGAGGACTTGAGGAGCGATTTTCACAACTATCGCCACTAATGAGATCAATATTGTGATGTTCAGTTTTGTGATTATTCATAGGTCACTAGCAGTCGCTTGTTGGCGAACTCTTACTAGTGCCATCTATATTTTCAGGATGAAGTTTCATTAAGTCGAAATCTGTTCCTTCAATTATTATCTTGAGGGGTTAGATAGTTATAATTGAATTGGATTATTTAATTCTCTACATAATTTCTGATTTTCTTGTTTCTACATATAAAAAAATTAATATTATTCCTAAGTGAATTTGGTATTAGGACTGATCCCTGAATGTTACTGCGTTGAAAATATCACTATATGTGAGACCCAAGAAAAAACTCTTCACGAATAATCAAATCAGCAAGAGAATGAAATACGGAGTCAACTCGGTTATTTCATGTTCCGATGTCCTAACTGCTCAAGTAATATGATGTTCTCTTCCATCCCATGTACGGTGGTTGTCGGAGACATATATAGCTATTATGATCAACAGGATTTGAGTCACTGGCTCAGTAGGCTTTGGGTGTGGTTGATAGTTGGTACTGAATTTGACCCTTTATTGATATTCCTCAGCAAAACCAAGAATTGGCCTTCTACTACCCAGATAGCACACACTCGCCTAAGGTAATCCTCAATGTGTCGCCCTCGGTGTCGCCAAACGCCTGGAGAGGACGTTCTATTTTCTACAACCTAAGAACATCATCAGGCGTGAATTTAGTGCTGTAATTGTCCTAAATGAGTTCTTTCAGTGACAGCCTGAGGATTTAAAGAATTTCGTGCCTACGGACGTCTTCAGATGACATTTCATGAAATAACGTGTTATCGAAGACAAAAGGAAGAAGAAGAAGAACTAGAATTGAGGTTATGTCTCATGATAGTCATGATTTGTTCAAGATACATCATAATATATTAATGATTATATCAAAATTATTAGAGTATTCATTTAATACCTTCATCAAATTTCTATTTCACAAAATGATTGCGAGAAGAACTTATTGCACAGAATTAAAAGATAACAATAACAAAAGGATGATAATCTCTAGCTGTTGA